TGAATTACTTGCTGAGTATGCAGCTTCTTTATCTTTTATTCTTACCTATGTTTTGGTTTAAAGCTCCATGCACACTAGCATTTTTTTAAGCTTCTACAAGCTGTTATTAGCATTTTTTCTGCCCCTAGAAACTAAATAGTGTTATCCTATGTGTTCATGCACACTACTTTAGGCTATTAGCTTTTTCTGAGCTTCAGCTTCGAAAAGCAGAAAAAAAAATAGTTTTTGTAGAGTTTTTGGAGCATTATTTCACCAGAAAAAAAACGCTAAACGCTCCCAAACGTTCCTTAAATGCTTCTAACAGCTTTTTTTTCGAGCTTCCTTCTTTTTTTTTTTTACACGCACTATAAAACCGCTAATAACATGCTAAGGCTCCTAAATGCTCTTAAACGCTACTAAAAAACTGCTATTACCAAAGTTTTTTATTTGCCAGGTTTTTTTTCAGTGTTTTTGAGCTTACAAAAGAATGCTAGTGTGCATGGAGCTTAAGCTGGTGTCATGACCATTGCCTCAGTTGTCCTGTTTCAGGGTGGCTCCTTTCTCTTCCAACATCCTGTAGGGCCACCCTTGAATGCAGAGACTAGAGTTGTGTCTCCCTACACTGTTTGCATCAATAGAATCCCACTGGCTCATAGCCTAGGCTGGAAAGAAACTTCCTGCTCTCCCTCCATCTCCTTTCTCAAAGCTTACAGACCAGCTGAAGACTGCACTGTCCCCCGTTAACTCTTTCCTGTGAAGTTCAGAAGTTCAGGGAAGAAGCAATGAGAAAGCAGGAATCAGCAACAGCATGAAAGTTGTAAACTGCAAGTGGAGGGATATGATGTTTAACAAATAGTTTACTGGAGAGTGTTTATTTTATTGTGCAAATGGTGTTAAACTAAAAAAGTCTGAATGTTTAATACTGTAAAGAGATTTATTTAATTTCCTGTTGTATCCATAGGATGAGGAATGAAAAAAAAAATAATGATTGTGGTTTTCAATATTCCCTAATTCATTGAAAACTAAGGAAAAAAGTTTTGTCTTTAAATATAAATTGTCAGATTCTGGCACTTTTCCCATATGAATGTAAAAATATGATAATTTTTTAATTAATACATAACTGGATTACATAGCATGTTTTATATTTTCCTGGAGTTCAGCTTTAAAGCACTGAAGTCTCAATTGTCATTCATTATTCTGTTTTTATAGCAATTAGTATGAATATAATAATTTTTATCTAAAGAGATAGTCTGTGAATTAAAGATAAAACATCCATAACTTGCACAGTATAACATTGATGAATATTACAGAGGAAAACAGTCTTTTGTGTGTTGATAGGAATGGAAAAGAGCACTATTTTCCTCCTGCACTTGGCCTCAGGAAGATTAAAGACAGTTCTTACAGATTTCATTTTTTTTCCCCTTAAATAAGCAGCCTGAGAATTCTCACACTTTTGGGCTGGCAGAATCTTGCTGCAGGCTTGAATAGTTCAACTCAAAATGGAAAACATAAGAGTGTATATCTCTATTCCAAAACCATTTCAACAGTTTCCCTTTACTATTATTACTCCTTGTTTATGACTAACATCCCAAACAACGTTAAATGGAAACAAAATGTGATATTTAGCATTTATTTTCTGCTGTAACATTTACAAAAAGACTTGTTTTATTTGTTTTATTTTGTATGCATGTTCAAGCAGGATTCTGGGGATTACACACAACTGCTTGCAAACTCAGTGTATACAGTATGGTCAAACATTTGCATTCACCTGACCATCGCACCTATATGAACTCCTTGGACATCCCATTCCAAAAGCTTGGACATTAATATGGAGATGGTCCCTCTTTAATAGCCTCCACTCTTTCATGGAAGGTATTCTACAAGATTTGGAGTGTGTCTGTGGGATAATATGCTCAATCAGCCAAAAGAGCATTTGTGTGCCCGAATGTCAAAGATAGGCATCTATAGTTGAAGACAGGGGCGGACTGACCATTTGAAAACTAGGGCAATGCCCGAGTTCCCGGGGCCAGTAGGGGGCCCCATGAGATGCCCCTGGTACCTTTTTTTGAGTTTGGGCAAGGACACAGGGGCCCCATGGTCCCCTATTACCATTACCCATGAGTTGTCAGTCCGCCCCTGGTCCCTTCCCTCCAATCAGCTCTCAGAACTCTCCTCACTAAGCTCTGCAGAATGTCATTTCAGCTCTCCCAACCCCCTTTCATTTTCTGAACTCTCAAACTAGCTGTATAAATTCAAGACTTAACCTCTTCGAGCCGACGCCTCCCGGCCCTTTAAGAGTTTCAGAAGCCGGGAGGTGGGGCGGGATTTTAGGGTCATGTGACCACCATGATAAGCCGTCACGGCAGTCACATGATCGGAAAAGGTCCTTTACAGGAGTCGCAGACATATGTGCTGGGTGGGCGCAGGGCGCGCGCGCTCTCAGCACATATGCGTTTTCTAATTGCACGCAAATATGCGCCCACTCGGCGTCAAGGCCCAGATGCCGAGAGGTCACATATTTGTGTGTGATCGACGTCAAAGGATTAAACAGATGTAGAAAAGAGGAGTGCAGATAAACCAGTACAACTGTGTGATAAACACAGTGTACTATGTGTGTAACCTGAGGCCTGATTATATGTAAGGGTTTACAACCACTTTAAAGTGTAGGTAAACTCTAAATCTGCTGCAGCTGTCCATGGTAGCCAATCAGGTTTTAACTTCAGCTTGTTCAATTAACCACTGCAATACCGGTCACTTTTACCTCCTTCCTGCTAGGGCCAATTTTCAGCTTTCAGTGCTGTCGCACTTTGAATGACAATTGTGCGGTCATGCAACACTGTACCCATATCAAATTTTTATTATTTTTTTCACACAAATAGAGCTTTCTTTAGGTGGCATTCACCACTGAGCTTTTTATTTTTGCTAAATAAAACAAAAAACTGAAACTTTTTTAAAAAAACAACGCATTTTTTCTTCATTTCTGTTATAAAATTTTGCAAATAAATAACATTTCTTCATAAATTTAGATAAAAAATGTAGTCTGCTACATTTCTTTGGTGAAAATACCCCATATTAGTGTATATTATTTGATCTGTAGGAAAGTTATAGAGTCCACAAAGCAAGGTATATACTGTATATCTGACAAATGATCAAACCTGATATACTGACGGCCCATCTCATTTCTTGAGGCCCGAAAATGCCCGGATAGTACAAATACCCCCAAAATCACCCATTTTTGTAAAATAGACAGTTCAAGGCATTTAGTAAGAGGCATGATGAGTTTTTTGGAAGTTGTAATTTTATGTTACAATTTCTTGGAAAATGTAAATTAAAAAAAAAAAAATCACAATTCTTTTTTTTGTTTACATATTGTCACCATTCCCCAGCACAGCGTTATTATATAACTGGTGTGGCGGTGATCAGAGATACTGACTGGTGACAGTATGTAAAAAAAAAAAAAAAAAATAACAATTTAATTTGTATTTTTTTTCACATTTTTCTATTTTTTTAAACTTCTGTATTACATAATTTTTTCTTTTTTTTACAATTTTTTTTTCAACACACTGTGATCAAATCAATACAATGTTACCATAGTAACATTGAACTACTGGATCAGGATTTTTTTTTTAACACATTATGATTGCTAATACCAATGTATTTCATTGATATTTGCAATAATGTTACAGAATGAAACTGATTCTTTCAGTCTTTTGTTGTGATTAGCTGTGATTGGGCAAAGCTCATCACATGATACAGATGGGCTGTGATTGGCCCTGTCTGTATCATGTGATTGCTTTGACCAGTCACAGATAACAACATAATTGTATACAATGGATGGCATGACAGGAAGCCATCCATTGTATACAATTGATATGTGATCTGCTGTGATTGGTCACAGTGGTCACATGACACTGGCAAAGGGTCCGTGTAGTGATATGTCATCGGCTGTGTCCGGTGGAGTGGCTCATTTTGACAGGATGTCATATGACGCCCAGCCACAACGAGGAGTGTCCCACCGGGCCATCAATCTGCTATAGGCTAGGTGGGAAGGTGTTAAGCTTTGACAAAAAAATGGAAGCGGATTGGTTTCTATGCAGAGCTGCACCAGATTTTGCACTCTCCAGATTTAGTAAATCAGTTTTAGTAAATCAACCCCAATTTGCTCCTATAGTCAGTAGGAACAGAGCGTTTCCTCTGATTGTAAACAGTAGCTTGCAATCTGCCTGGGGTCTGCTTCAAACAAATGCCTTAAAAAGGCATGATTTTTTCAAAATGGATATTGGATATGTTGTGTAAATGGGAACACATAAACATATAATGGGGCTTTCTCAAATATGACTGCAAAAGTGGAAATACACTTTAAGTACCACCTGTTGCCAATAGGTTACTAAGCAGGGACTCTCTCTGCAAACCAGGTGAGTAAATACTCTTAGTAAATGTGGTTTAATTAACAAGTGAACTATAATTTTTAGAAAAAAAAAAATTAAAATAGATATTGAAAAATTCAAAAAGATTTTAAGAATAAATATATATGTAATCTAAAAGAATATAATATGTACTATATATATATATATATATATATATATATATATATATACATACACACACCCACACACACACAGACTATATTGCCAAAAGTATTAGACGCCTGCCTTTACACACATATGAGCTTTAATGGCATCCCAGTCTTAGTTTGTAGGGTTCAATATAGAGTTGACCCGCCCTTTGCTCCTATACCAGCTTCAACTCTTCTGGGAAGGCTGTCCACAAGGTTTAGGAGTGTGTCTATGGGAATGTTTGACCATTCTTCCAGAAGCGCATTTGTGAGGTCAGCCACTGATGTCAGATGAGAAGGCCTGGCTTGCAGTCTCTGCTCTAATTCATCCCAAAGGTGTCCAGGAGGTCAGGAAATTGTCCAAGATGTCTTGGTATACTGATGGCTTAAGAGTTCCCTTGACTGGGAATAAGGGGCCAAGTGCAACCCCTGAAAAACAACCCCACACCATAATCCCCCCCTCAGCAAACTGTACACCTGGAACAATGCAGTCAGGCAAGTACCATTCTCCTAGAAATCACCATACCCAGACACGTCCATCGGATTGCCAGAAAGAGAAGCGTGATTTGTCACTCCAGCGAACATGTCTCCACTGCACTAGAGTGCAGTGGCAGCCTGCCTTACACTATTTGCATTGCACTTGCTGATGTAAGGGTTGGATGCAGCTGCTTGGTCATGGAAACCCATTCCATGAAGTTCTCTACGCACTGTTGTTGTTCTAATCTGAAAGGCACACAACGTTTGGAGCTCTTTAGCTATTGATTCTGAAGACAGTTGTTGACTTCTACGCACTGTGCGATTCAGTATGCGCTGACCCCGCTCTGTCATTTTACGTGGCCTACCACTTTGTGGCTGAGTTGCTGTTGTTCCCAGTTGCTTCCACTTTGTTATAATACCACTAACAGTTGACTGTGGAATATTTAGTAGCAAGGAAATTTCACGGATGGACTTATTGCACAGGTGGCAACCTATCACTGTACCACGGTTGAATTCGCTGAGCTCCTGAGATCAACTCATTCTTTCACAAATGTTTGTAGAAGCAGTCTCCATGCCTAGGTGCTTGATTTTATACACCTGTGGCCATGGAGGTGATTGGAACACCTGAATCCAATGATTTGGAGGGGTGTCCCAATACTTTTGGCAATATGTTGTATGTATGTATATATATATATATATATATATATATATATATATATATATATATATATATATATATATATAAAATAATCTAATCTACTAATTCCAACCAGAGTATTTCAGTATTTTATTTCTAAAACTTTCTCTTTATTTGTTTGATTCAAGATTAGAAAGAAGCTCGGTTCACCAGAAAAAAAAAAGAAAAAAAAAGCACAATGTCTTGAGGCAAAATGAAGTGTATTTAAAATTTATATATTGTAGAATGCCTTTGTTTTGAACTTGAACACACTGCAAAACTTCAAGATTTTCCATGCCATCTGACTCTCCCCTCATTTGTTTTTCTGCGTTCTGCTGATTACTATGCAACAATGCCTTCAACTTGTGGTTCCATTATTTAACTACATGCACAGTCATAGCTGACCCTTCCTGATCAATCGCCAATCCATACAGGTTTGACTGATAAAAGAGCCAATTAGATTTAAGCAAATTAAGGGACATCACCAATGTCAACCAGTTATTAAAAGATGGCTGGACTCCGTGCATACCAAACAGAAACACTCCAAGACCTATTAAGAGGAAAATATACTAACCCCATTACAGCCCTCTAACCCTCCCTAGAATAAAGCAGAGAGGTATTTAGTTTAATTTAGGGACTAGCATCAAAAACTTATTTTTAAATGTGCTAATTATTTTCCACTATTATGGCAGATTTGTGCATAACCATACTACCACCAAATAAAATATTTTTATATATTGTTTTATGAGTTGAGATGTCAGTGTTAATGGCATAATAATTAAAATTTAGGCAATTTTATACTAATTATTATTAGTATAATTATGCAATGATAATGTGGTTCTCAAAAGGAAAATTGTAGAACTGAGAAAGATTCATGGGGAAATGTATTTTTTTTTTTTTTATCATTCAGTAATTTGCATCTGACCACTGACCAACAATGTAAAGGGACACATTAGCAGTATTCAAAACTTTTTATGCATACCTTTATGCAATTTTATCAGGAGTTATCAATAATCATGCATTTTCACATGCTGTCATTAATAGGCCCTAAAACATGCATTTATATACATGAGTTAAAACGCATAGATATGCATGGAGTCTTAAAAATGTATGTATTCACATACATGCTGTGTGAGAACTCCTAAAATGCTGAGGAAAGGGGGCATTGCCATATTTGGCTCAGATCACCCAATCGGGAAATCCCCCTATTGTCATGACCTGTGTCCTTTCCCCATTGCCAACATTGGGTGTCTCCTTCTCTAACAGTATGCTCTTTCTCCTCCCCCCCGTCCCCCCAATGTCACCTTCTATTTAGGTTTCCCTTCTTCTACTTCTTCAAAACCCCACTTTTTTATTATTTTTTTCTTCATTCTTATTTTCTTTTCTTTTGCTTTCTATCTCATTCATTGATGGCATTGATGGTCAAGCTATGTATACATTTATGACTATGTGAACCTGTCAGGTCATCAAGTTGCTTTCTTACATTTGGTTATTCTGAATGAAAATCTATACATGCTGTAGTTTCTCTTTTGTTACATGTGTTATTTGCATTCTTTTGGTCTGTTTAAAATATAATTGAAAGTGTTTTGCTTTATTTGGTATGTGCCAAAAAAAAAAAAAACTGTTCACCCTGTCAGAAATCTAGCGAGCTGATGTCTTCCTGTGCCCTTTGCAGTTTTACCTCAAACTATGTTATCAGCCCTGTCCAATGTACCTCTGTGAACTACAAACACCTTCCTCATATGATATGCAGATTTGGAAATGGGGAGGTGTTCTGTAGTCTGTGGTGTTGGATGAGATTACAGGACTGTATGTCTATAAAAATATCACCTTCCATTGTTTAATTGAGGAATGTTGGGTAGGAGAGGGCCAACAGCACATTTTGAATGGTTCTTCAGGAATCAGATGAAATTTACATGGCCAGCTTGTAGGAAGATGCAGTGAAGTCTCCGTGCAAAGGTGGTACTATTTGGTGGCTGCAGTGCAGAGAGGACTAGGGACAAGGGGGAACCAGGTCCTTCCAAGGCCTCCCTAGGTCTCTTCAGGAAAGCAGCTGTCCGATTGGACACTGCTGCCCTGATTGATCTGGCATCCATCTCTGAAGTAGGCAAGGCTTATAAAAAGCACTGTCCTCTTCAGGTTGGTACGCATTCTGTGTAGTGGGTAGTTGTGGGATCTTCTGCTGGCAAGAGACAGTCAGAGTAGCTTAGGGTCAGGTTCCTATGGAGTAGGGCTAGAGCAGGGACTCTGTGTACCATTTGTAGTCTTCCTGTGTCAAGCCCGGTTTTTGGACTGCCTTCCAACCCTGCCTCCCCTGCTGGATGCAGTCAGGTGTCTCCATTGTGCAACACAATCTTTATCTGGCTCATTGTAAGTGTTCTGATCCAGTGTGGCCTTGTCTGCAGAGTTGGTGGTTCTTGTTCCACACCATTTGCTGGATCAACCAGTCTCCATGTGAGTTTCCTTTCCCTGTGGGCAGTGAGACTGGGCCATACCTTTCAAGCTTAAGCTCAATCCCCTACTTAAGTGTTCACTTACCTCTCTATGGTGGCAGCCTCCTGCAGCTTTTACATCCTTCTTTCCAAAATATTCTCAATATCACCTGTGTCTGTGCAATAACTTCCTATAGATTTCAAAGGACTGTACCTGTACTGCTTGAGTAGGCAGCTGTCAGAATGTGTGAACAGAGGTTGCATCTGATTGGATGCAGCTGCTGTTCATCTACAAAATTTGGGCTGTCTCCTTCAATTTTTTAATTGATGGATGTTGAGTAGGAGCAGTCGACAGGGTTACCCACATTTCCGCAAATTTCATTCATTTCATGAGGAACCAGTGAAAATTCTGATATTTTATGGACAGCTAAAGCTAAACTCCCTGCCCAAGTATCCACTTACTGCTCAGTGGTAATGGTCTCCTGCAGAGTTTACATTCTCTGTTTCCAAATTCTTCTGGATATTGACCATCTCTGTGCTTCTTCTGTGAAATTCACTTCAATGAAACTTACTTCTACTGTATTGTTGGTGTAGCCATCACTTTTTAAGTGTAGGTGACGTTACTGAGCAGGTGTGGGCAACATTTAGACTTCCGAATGGAAGATGTAAATGCCATGAGTGGCCACCAACATAAGAGAGAGGGCACTTAGGTGTGTGGGTGGGAAGTAGTTAGCTTTTATTAGGGAAGGTAGAACATAAGAGCTGGAGACTAAGCCTGAATATGTCCTTTAAGGTTTATATGTACTTTGAATCTCTTTTCCTTTATTTTTCAAGAAAAGAAGAAGTATTTTGTGGTCTAGTTAGATGGTCCAGAATTAAAGATCTTATTTTTTTTACCAGTGATAAAAATGCCTGTGTCTCAGTAAAAATGTCTTATTGGAAAAAAATTCTTAGTACTGACCTATTCACTTTTCCTTAATGTTGACTTGATCAGGTCTGAGCAGATGATATGACTGAGCATTTGCATCAGTAAAATGTGGCAATAATATAAATTTAGCTAAGACACCTTCTCACATTAATGCTGCACGCTCTTCTACTTGATTCCTCTAAAAGATGTTAATATACATCCAGGCCATTAAATAAAAGAAAGCATGAGCGTGAGCCAATTTAACTAATGATCTATACTATTAACTTATCACAAGGTCATCAAATAAAAACCGTCATTCAAACATTATTTAACTTTATTCACAGCAATAAACAACAATGCAAACACTCTGGCCGTCTTTAGAATGGGTTTTACCCACGCTTATTCTGCTTTTGATAAATTAACTGAACACTTCTCAATAATCGTGCCAGAATTATACATAAAAAGCACGGCAACAGTGCCAAAGGTAATAAAAATTCACAATTGCTATATAAACTATGCATTCGGTGGAAACAAAATTAGAAATAAATATGTTCACTTCATCGGAAAAGCATTAAAGATTCATACAAACTGCCTTGTAATGTTTGAATGTTTAGATAGTTATAGGTAGGTGTTAAATTGTCAAGTGTTAAAGATTCTCTGTTACTTTCATGGCTGTATATCACTAGTGGTAAGTATTAGAGGGGTACTCCAACTTCACCTGCTACTAGTGTCTTGAATTGCTGAATCCTGTGTTCAGGATTCATTTGGTTTAGTTTGCAGAACTCGAAGATTTAGGTGCTGGTATCTTTCGCTGGCATCTCCGGTGCAGAAAGTATGGTCATTGGCGGCAAAAATTCTAGTGCAGTGGAGTTGAGTGGGCAAGCAAGAGGTTCATTTTAAAAAATAGAGGGTTATTGTTGGGGTTACAGGGAGGGTTAGTGTTAGGGTAGCAGACTACAAAGAGGGTAACAAAAGGAGTAGTAGTTGCCATGAGCCAACTACCAAAGTAGGTAATAAACACCCAAGCAATTTAGCTTATATGTAAAATCACATATTTTTATTATTCCCTTTTAGGGAGAAAAAGGTAATATCTGTGGATGGTGACATGTACAATCACTGAATACACAATAAAAACAATGAAAGACAAGCTATCCGGATTGCAACATTTGAATATTTCTTGTGGTATTCACTATTGACTGGTTTGAGATATACAGCAGTATATTAGCAAGGGTAGCCAAAATTCACAAGGCTTAGTGTTGTGAACATATATATCATACATGCACAATAATTGCAATGACACAAAAATTAGCCAAGTATATAGCTAGATATGCATAATTATGATCATTAAATGCATGAGAACTGCAAAAAATGCAGGTTGAAAAAAGGAATGAGTATGTCCATTTGTAGAGTGCAAGAAGGAAATCCCATGGAATTATACAGTGTTGAAAGATTCTTACTGTCCCATGTTCCTTCAAAGCTTGAATACTGTGTGGTTTAAGCCTCCATATATCGTAAAACTATGTAGATATCTTTATCCCTTCTGGGTATTCCTCCAGATAAACATCATGGCAAA